AGGTGATCTGCCCGCCTCAGCCTCCCAGAGTGCTGGCATTACAGGCGTGAGCCCCGCGCGTGCCCTGGTGACCATCTTTTCATGTGCTGATTTGGCCTCCACATACCCTTTTGGCAAAATGCCTTCTCATGTCTTTTGCTCATTTTCTAATTGGATTGGCTTTTGTTGTCGCTTCTGTTGAGTTTCGAGGATTTTTAAATGTGTATTCTAGATCCCAGTCCTTTATTAGATAAGTAATTTGCAAATATTTTCTCCTACTTTGTAATTTTGCCTTTTCATCTTAACATAGTCTTTTTCAGAGCAAGTGTTTTTAAGTTTGATGGAAGTTTAATTGCTCAGTTTTTCTTCTTATGGATTGTGCTTTTTTTGTCAGGGCTAAGAACTCTTTGCCTGCCCTAGATCTTGAAGTTGTCTCCCATGCTTTTTTCTAGAAAGTTTTATTGTTTTATATTTAAGTTCATGATCCATTTTGAATTAACTTTGGTATAAAGTCTGAGGCTTAGGTCAAGGTTCTTTTTTTGCCTAAAAATGTGCAATTGCTCCAGCACCATTTGTTGTAAAAGCTGCCTTTTCTCCACTGAATTCCTTTTGCACTTTTGTCAAAAATAAGTTGGGCATATTTGCAAAGGTCTATTTTTGGGTTCTCTGTTCCATTCCGTCAATCTATGTGTCTATCCTTCTGCCAATGCCATAGAGTCTGGATCACTGCAGCTATGTAATGAGTCTTGAACTTACGTAGACTGACTCCTTCCACTTTATTCTTTTTCCCAAATTGTTCTATCTATTCTAGTTGCTTTGCCCTTTCACATAAATTTTAGAATAATTTTATCTATCTCTACAAAAAATCTTGTGAGATTTTGATGGAAATTGCATTGAATCTGTATATGAATTCGGAGAGAATCAACATTTTTACAGTATTGAGTCTTCCAGTCCGTGGATACAGTATGTTTCTCCATTGATTTGCTATCCTTCAGTTTCTTTCTTTGGCATTTTGTAATTGTCAGCGGTTCTTTTGCTCCACCATGAACTAATTGTGTGATCTTGGACATTAGACTTTCAGGCCTTCAGTTTTCTTTCTGTAAAATGAATCTAATAACAGCTACCTTGAAATGCCATGGGAAAGGTCAAATAAGACAGTGCATGAGCAGTGCCCCGTGGAAGGCATCAAGACAGTTCCCTTCAGCTGGATCTCTTGTCTGTTCTTTCTTTCCTCCTCCTCAACTTTCATTCTGATGCCCACATCCACTTACATTTCTCTTCACTTTGTCTTTCCTTTTCATCCTTTGCTTATTTTTAATTCTTTTTTCATTCTCAATCCCTTACTCTGATTTTCCTCTTTCTTTCTTTCTTTCTTTCTTTCTTTCTTTCTTTCTTTCTTTCTGAAACAGAGTCTTGCTCTGTTGCTCAGGCTGGAGCACAGTGGCACAATCTCAGCTCACTGCCAACCTCTGCCACCCAAGTTTAAGCGATTCTCATCCCTCAGCCTCCTGAGTAGCCGTATTTTTGGTAGAGACAGGGTTTCATCATGTTGGCCAGGCTGTTCTCCAACTCCTGACCTCCGATGATTCACCTGCCTCGGCCTCCCAATGTGTTGGGATCACAGGCATGGGCCACTGTGCCAGGCCTTTCCTATTTCTTTCACTTTGTTATTCTCTATTTCTCCCTGGATTTTTCTGTTTCATTTCTTCTCCCACGATATTTTTCTCTCTCTTTTTTCTTGCATCATTTAAGCATTCCATTTTTGTGGAGTTGCTCAGACATTGAGTGTGACTCAAGGGCCACTCAGCCTGGGTTCAAATCCAGACCAACCACTTCCTAGATTCAGAGCAATTGACTCACACTCCTGTGCCTCAGTTTTCTCATCTATAAAATGGGAAGAACAGTATCAGACCTTTTCTGAAATGATTAAATGAGTTTATGCATGGAAAGCACTTGGAATAAAATTGGGTATATGGTACAGCCCTCGTAGATAACTGTAATTATTGGGATTATACCTGTTACGTCCAGTTTCCCTGGCTCTTTCTCACTGGTTCATTTACCTTCCCTCAGCATCTCATTTTTTCACTTGTATATGAATATATTCAAATTCGCATTCTCCTGCTTTCAAGCTGTCTTCTCTGCACGCTTCTCCCACCTCATATTCCCTAATCATCAGTGACAAATTGGCACCAGCCTAGGAAGTCTGTCCCTTGGGCTATAGAGAGGAAACAAGTGGTTTTTCATTTTGATTTAATTATTAATCCCCTTTATTATTTAATGTGGAATACATACAGTATAGGGTTACAATGAAGAAAATGGATTATCACTGTGCAGCTCACTTTCAAAGAAATGGCAGGCTTAAAAAGGAAAAGTACCAGACAGACAGAAACAAATGTGGGGAAAAAGCAAAATTAATTAATTTGATTTCCGTGTCCTTTTTATGGGCATGATTTTTCATACATCTTCTGTGGGATCCAGAAGGGTGCAAGTGGATTTTGAAAGTAAGCCACAGCTCGGTATTAAAGGGAAGAAGTGTAAGGAAGGGCGAGTGACTCACAGTGGCTCACCAGGCAAGACAGAAAAATACTCTTCGCAAGCTGGCAGGTAGGGAAGCTCAGTCTCAAGCTCACAGGCCTGCCCCATAGGTTCACTGTTCAATAATGGGCTTCATCGTGATGCTCAGTTACTTGAAAGGCACTCACCTGACCCTAAGCCTTTCAAATCCATGTTCCATACCTTGAATCAGGCCTAGTATCTATCCTTTTAAAAATTTCTGAATATATTTAGACTCACTTAGATATGCTGGACAGAGGGCTATTTTAAATACAATCAGAATGGTCTTTTTGTTTCTGTATTTTCTCCAAAGAATTGAACTCCCCAAGCGAAATGCCAGACCTGCCTGCTCTCCCTTCAGACTAGAATCCTGTCTTCCTTTAAAAATCCTGACATGGAACACCATTTAATCCTTCCCTCTCTGCCTTTTTGTGTTTATGGTGACCTCTCGGTATTTTGGTTTCTTTAATGACAAAGGAACCATGGAATTAGTCCACAGCACTTCTAGGGTACGTGTTTCTCTCCAGATATCAGGAAATAATGCATGAGGCTTTAATACATCCTTAGACTTGTGGTGGGGACTCCTCCATGGATGGAGTCTAAATGAGCAGCCGATTCTGCCCCACTGGTCTGGATTACCCGAGGTTCTGCAGGACTCAAACTCACTTTCTGTTGCCCCATTTGGCACCCCAACCGCCCCTCTTTGCTGTGCAGCCAGAAGTCAGGGTCACCTGGCAGACCTATTGCTAAGTCTTTCAATGTTTCTATTACATAAAACTTCACAGTCGGTGTTTCTGTGTCTACAATGCCAGAATCCTGGGAGTGAGTTAACCTGAGTTTGTGTGCCCCCTGGCAAGCCCAACTATCCAACTATAAAAGGGAACTAAAGTGATGGGACTCTCATGAGCCAACACGGGAGCTGAGAGAGCCCAACAGAGATGTAAACTGCCATTTTTATTCCATGATAATAAATCCGCAACTAGGAAGACCGGGGTTATTTCAGACCCCATATCTGCTCTTAACCTACACCAATCCAGTCCAGGGGGAACAAGTACCTGACGCCAGTATTTGGTAAGGTAGAATTTTTTTTGATAAAATGGCAGACATGTCATGAACATTAGGATTCCACGAATATTTCTATTTCTTATACAGGAAGGAGACGCAAGGTGGGAACCTATAAAGGAACATGTGAATATGGAGCAAAGGATGTGGCCAGGGGAGTCAGGGTTATGATTCAGAATCAAGGTCGCTGGACTCCAATGGGTGCGCAGTAGAAGGGAGGGAAAGTGTGGGCTCTGAAATCAGGCCGCTGTCAGTTCAAACCCAGGTTCTGCTGCTTGTGAGCCATGTGGTCTGGAGCAAATTCCATCCCTGCTCTGAATCTCAGTCTCCTGATCTGAGTAATGAACACATTACACTTATTCCACAGTGTTGCTGAGCTGACAAAGTACATTAACTCACATAAGGCACCTAGTTCAGAGTAGCATGCACGTGTGCACGTGCACACACACACACACACACACACACACTTCACTTCCAGAGCTATTCTGCAAATAAAAACCAAAAGGCAGTACCAGCTGCTGCAGGCAGTGAATTGATGTGTTGAAAACAAAAGCAAAAGAGTGCAAAGGCCACGGAGAATGCGGCAGACAGGAAAGATGCTCCCTAAGGGGCTTGTCCTGGTCAGGGTGTCTCCAAGCAAAACAAGGGACAACTGAGTGACTCTGGGAGCAACGTCAGTCCTGCATCCTTGTCTCCACCTTGACTTTGTTCTCAACAATAATCACACCCATGCGGTGAGCTCCCCTTTGAGGGACAGAGGCAGGCCAGAATGGAGACACAGGATACGCTGAGAGGGGGAGACCTGGGCGCCAGTGACAGCTCCCCAGGGATGGTCCGTCTGAGCAAGACCTATGCAGCGGAGCCCCTCAGCCACCTGAGATGCCTCATCTGCCTTCCCAGCAGCTCCCTTCCTCAGAGCCCTTAGCAGCTTGGCAGTCAAAGAACATTGTGTGCAGGGACAGCTCCACGGGGATGAAGTGTCCCGTCTGACACAGACTGTTCCGAGATCCATGCTGTCCCCGGCTCTGCATTTCACTGAAAGCCCCTCCTCCTGCTCCTGACACTTAGTCCCCATGCACAGCCACTGGAGACTCTAACCACTCTGGAGAGTAGAGGAGCCCTTTCTGGGGTATTCTGCTTAAAGCAGAGGTGAAAGAGCTGTGTGTGCCGGAGCCCTTGGGAACCTGTGACAGCCAGGAGAATCCTGGGTATAAAATCAGCATCTGTGGTCTCATTCCACTCTTCTGACACAGCTCTCCAGTCCTTTCCATGATGCCCTTGCCACTGATAATCAGCATCCATTATATCGGCGCCAGGAACCAGCTCAGAAGGCCACCTGACCCACCCTCCTGTCCCTCCAGCCCTCCTCTGGAAGGACTCACAGTGCTTGCAGTCAGAAATCTCTCCCCATTGAGAACCATTTCTACTGCTGGCAAACTGGAGGATTATTGCCATTGCCCAAGACGCTGTTCTCTGCAGCAGGTTGGCACAGGGTGCCAGTTATGGAGGAGAAGACAGCGAGGAGCCCCACACTTTTAGGAATGGGGATGTCATAGCAGCCATCCGCATGGTGGAGGGGGCTGGGGAACACAAGGCTGTGCGCAAGGAGACAGGGCTAGTTAGGGCCACAGGAACCAGGCTGGTGGGCACTGAGGGAGCAGCCCCAGCCGCCCTCTCTGCTCTCACAGGCCTTGCAGATTGACTCCTCCTCCTCCTGCCACGCCTCCTGCCTGCATCGCCCTGAGGACTGACAGGCAGGGTTTGTGGCAGACCTGTTAGTGCAAACAGGAGGGCTCTGAGGAGAATGGAGTGGGGATCCCACAGCTCTCAGCCCAGCTCAATGCAGCCCAGCCTGTCCACGGGACGAAAAGGCCTCTCTCCGACTCCGTAGCGCAGAAATACAAACTGGCAGCTGGCAGATTGAATCTGACCCACGCATACATTTTCTATGGCTTGCTCACTTTTTCAAAAATTGTTGAATTACTGGTCAACACGGAAAAAAAGAAATTTAATATTCAAAAGTTTCATTTCTGGCTTTTCTGGGAAAAGAACAGGGAGGATCTTGCGATGCCTGCGCCACATCGTGGCATGGCAACAAGGAACTAGAGCCGAGTGGTGGCTGCCCCTTTAGAACCGCATGTGCGTGCAGCTCACCACCGTCCCCGCCACCCTCTGCTGGGTCCCCCAAACCAAGGGCAAGTTTTGGTGGCATTTATCATGGGTTTGTATGTTTGCTCTTCCTAGAATAAAGAGGATGTAATATTTTAAATGTTTCTCTATATCAAAATATGAAAATGAGGGTCTAAGACATCCCATTTAAATAAAAATAGGAGAAAGCCTACTAACTGCACATGAGCAAGAGGGATGTAGGGTGTGTCTGTGTTGGAAGAATCTGATCCAGCAGCCGCACTCCCTGACTCCCAACAGCCACAGCCCTGGGTGTAGACGGCAGAGCTCAGCATAGACCCGCAGGTTCTGGTTACTGTGGCATGTACATCCTGCCCATCTGAGACATTCCAGAGTGAGGAGGTGTTACCCTCACTCCTGGCAGAGACAGGCCTGCCTTAGATGAAGGAGAATCCAGTAAAGGGGTGTTAAGAGTGAAATCAGTGGCTGCTGGTTAGTGGTCTTGTTCTTACTGGGGGCCGCCATACAAGTAGACTTTCAGAGAGTGACGGGGCACTCTTAGTGACGATGCCAGAACAACAGGTGTTACTTAGGATGCATGGACACCTTATGTCCTTGGAGCAGTCAAGGACCTTTGGGGGCAAGTATTGTGGTTAGAAAAGGTTGAGGAGCAGCTGTTAGATGAATAGGCAGCACGCTGGAGGGGAGCAGGAGGGAGAAAGAGAACACAGCCCTGGTTGGCGGGGAGTCACCCCAGCCACTGAGGAGCCTGTGCCCAGCCGCTAGAGGCACAGCAGGAAATCATGAATTCCTTTCAGGTTGCGGATCAGGCTTGTGTAGATCTGGCTTCATTCAGGGCCAGTTTTCTCAGGGCCTGATACCCCCAGGGGCTCAGAACCACGGGGTCAAACCCAGAGGGCTCCCGAGGAACAACCCCCAGGCGGCGGGGGTGGCTGCACTTAGAGCCTTCCGCATCAGACAAAACCTAGTCCGCTGCTTAGTTACTGTGTGGCCCAAAGCAAGCTGCTAAAATCACTCTGCCTTTGTGGTCTGTAAAATGAGGTGACTAAAATGGACTTCATAGATCTGTGTGAGGATCAAATAATAAAATGCATAAAAAACACTCAGCACAAAGATGGCATATAACAGGCATTCCATGCCTGAGCTATTAGGACTGTCTGCTCCCCTGTTCTCATGTCCACAAGGCTCTGCTGCCTCACCCTGCTCACTGGCACCTTCCTCATCAGGGCCTTCCTGACCCTTCCTCACCTGCCCCAGACAAGCCAAATTAAGAACTGCACCTAGGCCTCTCTCTCGCTCTCTATTGCACTGACTGTTTGCCTGTGTACGCCCCATAGTACTAGAGGCTCCTTGTGGATAGAGAATGCATCAAGGGTCCTCAATCTCATTGCCTGTTAGAGCCACCTGGGGCCAGGTTCTGAACGAGGCATCAGCAGGCTGTCCAGCTCCCAGCTGATGACAGTGAGGCTGGGCTACGCAGCTGTGCACTGAGGACCAGCCACATCCACATCACTGCAGCTCCTTGGCAAAACCGCGGACTCCAGAAACCACAGACTCAGAGAATCAGAACCTGCATTTTAGGCAGATCCCCAGGAATGGAAAGCGCAGGAATGCCATTAAAGTGTGAGTCGAATTCCTTCTAATCCACTTCCTTCTACCCCCAGAGCCCAACATAATTCAAACGCCCAGTGGGTGTTCAGTGGGGGTTCACTGATTGACTAATTGACTGAGTGAGTGAAGCCCTGTGTCAATTTCCACTGGGATTTCACACCTACTCCCTCATGTGCTATGAAACCAACAGGCTCAAAAAGTAGACCCATAAAACATTCAGGAATTCAAAAATAGATGTAGACCTAAGTTGATAGAACAAATAGTTGCAAAATGGTCAGGTTTTTAAATGAAATACCTGATGGGTTTTAAAACATTTATTACCACTGGGCTCTGTGCCATTAAACCTCCAAGCACACTAGAAGAGAGTTTGGCTTTGTTTTAAGGTTGGTAATTTTGAAAAGCTGGGAAAGCAGCACTGGCCCCTGGGAGGAATCTGCCCACCGGTGTGGTTTGGGCACAGTCTCTCGGCCTCTGGCCCACCCCTCCTCCAGGAAGGGAGACCCACTTGCTGGGAGTCCCCAGCCGTGCCAACCCCCTCACCACCCCGGTTCCCTGGGGACAGGGTCTCTGTCTCCCCTCTGCAGGCCCCTCCTGGCTCTCATCCTCCCACCCTGCATCCCCCAGCCCCGCCTTCCCCTCAGCCGGAGAGCTGCAGCTGACTAGGGGGCCAAACCCAGGAAGCAGGCAGCTTATCCAGCCCCACTGGGGGTGTCGTCCCCTGCAGGGTGAGGGGTGTCCCCTGTGTCACACTCCCAGGCCAGGCTAGAGGTTGCAGCGCTCAGGCTAACTGAAGATGATGCCTCTCTCTTGGGAGCGGAAGCGTGACGCTGACACTCAGTAGGCAGAACTCGGGACCTGTCAGTTCTCCTTCCTTCTCCAGTCGTTAGAAGCACCCCTGCCCCTCACTCCCCACCCCTCCAGCCCCTTTCCCAGCCCCACCCCCAGGTGGAAAATCCTAGGAGCTCCCTCTCAGGAAGGCTCCTGTGAGCCAGGCCCTGTAAGCACACCTGTCATTTCATCTTCGCAGCAGCTCTTTGTGGTGAGTGCTGTTATCCCCATTGTGTAAATAAAGCAAGGGATGCTTAGAGAAGTAACTTTTCCAAATGTGCCTCAGTTCCAGGCATAATAGGAACCTAGGTCATCTGATGCCAGAGTCAGCTTTCCTAACTGTTCATAATCCGGCTTCCCTTTCTGTACTGGATTTTCTATTTCTGCCGTAACAGATGACCACAGACGTAATGGCTGGAAACAGCACCCATTTATCAGCTCACAGTTCTGTAGGCCAGAAGTCCAGGCATGATGTGACTGTGTTCTCTGCTCTGTTCTCACAAGGCCAAAGCCAGGGTGTCAGTGAGGCCAGTATTTTCATGTCGAACTCGGCCCCCTTCAGGCTCCTGTGGTTCTGGCAGAATTCAGATCTCTGTGGTCATGGGACTGAGGTCCTCACTTTTCTGCTGGCTGTCAGCTGGAGGCTGCTTTTAGCTCTCAAGGAATGTCACCCGCATTCCTCACCCTGTGGCCCCCTCCATCTTTAAAGCCAGCAAAGGAGAACCTCCCTCTGTCTAATTCCTCTAATAATTTGAATCGCCTACTTCAGGAAAAGCCCAGTCCTTTCTAACAGCATGTGATTGGGTCAAGCTCACCCCAGGTGAACTTCCTTTCTTAAAGTCCTCTCTGCCGTATGGCGTGCCCCAGTCACGTTAGTGAGGATTTCCTGGGGTTCCTCAGGGAGTATGTACCAGGGGCAGGAATTTCCAGACTGTCTTGGAATTCCACCTACTTACAAACGCCTTCTCTGTCCCCAGCATGTATTCTGGTTTACATTCAAGTGCAACACCTTGAATGCTCCCTGCTAACCCCAAGGGGCCTTGAGGGGATTGGGGCAGCCTATTTACCAACCTGTTTGGAGCATTTTTCTATGAGTACAGTCATATATATTCCCATAGAAGAGTACAGCTATCTCCAAGTGAGACGTGAGCACGTCCTCCTCCATTCCTCTCCCTCCGATTTTCTCCTGTGTTCCAAAGCTCAGGGAATGTACATTTTGATCCAGCATGCATGAGAGAGAAAGTAGGAAGTTGATGTAGATGTTTGTGACCACAAATAGGGAGACTGAGTCTGAGAAAAGACTTCCAGCCCAGTGGTCTCTCCAGGAAGCCCTGCTGACCCCCAAGTGAGGCTCCTACCAAGTTGCTGTGGCCCCGACCCCTGACATTCTAGACCATGTCATGACATGGAGTTTTCCTCCCTGTGGGTAGGTGATGTTTGGAATTCTTAATCCAGAGGTCTATCTAAATGGTTGTCAGAGTCGCTAATGCATCATCTGAAATACAACTTCCTTTGATTTTTGCCTCTTTTGAGTCTTCCTCCACTTGTGTTTTTCTATCAAAGGGATTAAACCCCTTTGCTGGACTTGAAGCTCTGTCTTTTCCAACAGCTTTCGTCATGTCTCAGCACAGCTTCCCACCCACAGACACAGGAGAGGATGGGAGAAGAGCAGTAACAGGCTTGATGAGGCTTAATAGGATTTGCTCAAGTCAGTGCCTTTCCTTGGTCCTGCAGAGAGTAGCTAGGAGACGGCTTGCCTGGGTCGGCCACAGCATTCCTCCCTGTCTTTCCTCTACAGACAGTTCTGCAAAAACCCTAGCTTCGAAGAGGCAATGCTAAAATATCCACTATGGGAGGGCTGGCTCTGCGTCTATCTTCTTCACTGCTTCACGTCCAGCTCCTAGCACTGGGGCTGGACTACAGTAGTTCCTCAATTAATGTGTGCTGAATGAGTGCATAATTAATAGAACGGATATTGAAAATCTGATTAAAGAACATCATCTCCATTGTCCCTGAAAATCCTTTTGACTTGATAGGCACAGAGCACTGAAGGCCAGGGCTTCAAGGCTGGTCATTTTACGTACCCTTAAAAGAAATCTGAACAGCAGGGGCTCCATGCCACTCAGCTCAATGTTTGCCCTGCAAATTGCCCACTGGCCCTTTAGCTACCTGTCTTAGATATTCCCTACCTCTCTTTCTTCATCTTTAAAATGGGGTTAACAGGATATTGCATTAAATTTCAATTTGAGGAGAGATTATGCACACATGTTCATCTGTACGTATGTTTGTATTATGTATTTTTTCCATGAGTCCCTACAATTGGCCCCCAGGGCTGGAGAGGCAGAGAATATTATCTGGGATTTATAGCAGAGAAAACTGAGACAAAGGACCTTAAGACTGTTTTTTCTTTGGACCACAAAGCAGGTTTGTTGGACACTGAGTTCGAATCCAAATGTTACTCTGGGTTGAACAAGGAATGATGTCTGCCAATGGTGCCCGCACACAGGAATGCATCCCAATGTCACATCAAAAGTAAACTACCTTTCCTACCTCCTCAACAAACAAGTGTTCATATCTGGGCTGAAATGTTCTAGAAAACATTTTCCCATTTCCAGTAGAGCACAAAGCCTTCGCCTACAAGAATGTATGCAAGTATGTTTAAAAATAAAGAGGGAAACAGTGCAGAAAATCAGCAGCAAGCTGTTTTCCCCAAAGAGCTGAGCACAGGAGGATGTGAGTTCCCATGTGCCCCTGCTGATGACTCATTCCTGTGGGCACCGTGCCTTCCCTGCCCAAGCTCAGTGGCCCGGGGAGTCCGCAGCAGCGGCACCCCCATTGGAACCCTATCTTGGTTCCAGCAGCTGGGGCGTCCAGAATACACAGGGCCTTGGGACAGCAGCATTTCCCACCATCTCTGAGCATCTGTGTTCGGGTTTTCAGGATGAAGTCTCCCGCTTAAGGCAGAGCAAATTCCTCCTTGGGATTTTGCAAAGAAGCCCCAAGCCTTTTCCTCCTTGTCTCATTTATCTTTGTTAACTGCCACATGAAGGAGCAGGGAGCAGGTGGCCCTATGCAGAATGGGAAATGGCCAATGGACATCTGGGACAAATAGCCCTTCAGATGACCCTTCCATATGATGTTTTAAAGGTTACCTTGAAACTGCTACAACCACCCAGGCAGCATAGGAAAAGGCCCGTCAGGGTCCCCTGACTTCCCAGGACATGTGGAGCCTACCATGGTTTGCCATTGAGGCAGCTGGTTCAGTGGTTGTCAAACCTTTTACCAGATTGTGCTATGGGGACATAGCTTCCTGGTATGGTGTTTTGTCTGGTAGAGCCTGCAGCTGGAGTCACCCCCAGAATGGTGGCAGGGGAACACCTGCAAGGGACTCCTCAAACCATCTGCAAATGGGGTCAGTTGAGAAGGCACTAAACACCAAAGCACGTATTAGGGGAACTTACATGGGGAGTGCTGCAGCGGTCCTGATGACTCCTGCATGTCATGAGGTCCTCATGACTCCTGCAGAGCCAAAGAGAGGCTCTGCTTAGCAATGTCTGCAAAAAGGGCTCTGGGTTACGGAGTGATTCGGCCTAAGGTCAGGCTAATCCCTATATGTTTCGCAACATATTTGAACTTTCAGTATTTCAGGTAACAACCTAAGCAGGGTTTCAGTGCCTGGGACTCTTTCCAGGGCTCAGGCCTGCAGGGAAAGACATGAAACTGGCCAGGTGACAGAGCAGTCTTGGCATCTGATGTCTCTCAATCAGGACAGATAAATAAGTGGGGGTTCCTGGGGGAGCCCATACCTGGGAAGGAGGGTACCTATGAATTCAAGGAAAGCTTGCTTATAAAGAGGAAGAAAGGCTGATGGATAGCATCCCTAAGGTGACGTTTCCCAAGGTCAGAAGCTCATAGAACTTTCTGGAGGGAGCAGGTCATCAGCCTAGGCATGAGCATCAGTGTCTGATGGCAGTTGTGTGGTGAGTGCTATGCGTGGGCCCTCAGGCTGCAGCCAGATAAACCTGGACCCAAAACCTCCCCTGGCCACACGCCACGTGAGCTTCATTCTTCTCTTCTGAAAAAATGAAGGAATATAATAGTATTTATCAAATCATATTGTGAGGATTAAATCAGCTAATGAATAAAAATTTCCTAGTGCAGTACCTGGCTTATGAGTGCCCAGAAATGTGGTCTGTTATTGTTAATTAAAGAAGCCTTTCTAACTGCATGAGAGTCTCAAGGCGTGTTAAATGGGTTTTGAGCGAAACATCAGACACCTGTATTGCAGTGTCTGGGTGTCTCCTGGAAGTGTGGCAGGTACCCCCAAAACATGTCATGCCCTTTGAAGAGTCTTGGGGGCATTCACATCCTGTCCATTTCAATTTCTTAAAGGACAGAGAATAACAAAATCAAATTTTCTAATGGTGGGCCTACACAGCAAGTTGTTGTTTTAACGAGTGTTCAGAGGGCCTCAGAGTTCACACTCAGACGACAGGAGAGACCAATTGACAAATCAGACACATGCGCCTTTTCCTTTCTATTTGCTGCTAAAAGACCTCAAGATAAATGAAGTCAGCAGGAAATGCAAGAAACAGCACAGGCTTGGGCCAGACGAGCAGGAATCCAGATATCAGCTCTGCCTGATATTTGGTGGCCTGGGTGTCACTTAGCCTCTTTGGAACCCTGTTTCTTACTTATCCATCCAACTATTTAATTAGTACTTTTAAAATACATATATGTGCCAGGCTATGCTCTAAGTGCTTGGAATATCAGAGAACAAAACGAACACAGACACATGCCCCTGTGGAGCCTACGTTCTGTGGGTGGGAGAGAGACTGTCAGAATTAAGCCTGATCCATAAGCAAACAATATAGTGTTTACATAATGGGGATCCCAATATCTAATGCCAGCGAGTTGCTGTGGCGATAAGAAGACGACATGTAATGCATGCGACATTGTAGGCATTTAATAAACTGTTGTGATTATTCTTTTTAAAATTGCTCCCAGAGTTATCAAGTCCTTTAAATACTTAACGTGTAGTTTGCATCTAGGTATTGTTCATCTATTCATTCAACAAACAGCAATTGAGCATCTACTATGTTCTAGACTCTGTACTAGGCACCAGGGATACAAAAGAACCCTATAAGAGAGTGCAGCCCCTGCCTTTGAGGATTTCACACTCTGACCCCTAGATAGCAGAGGAGAAGCCAGGGAGAGCCCTGGGGTGGGGACCCCCTTCCGTCTTGGATTCTAGTGAATCAGAACAGCCCAGTTCACTGACGGTGTCTTTTTTAACGCAAAGCATCCCAGCTATGGCTGGCGATTCTAGGAATGCCATGAACCAGGGCATGGAGATTGGAGTTACTCCTTGGGACCCCAAGAAGATTCCCAAACAGGCCCGCGATTACCTCCCCATTGCCACAGACCGCACACGCCTGCTGGCCGAGGGCAAGAAGCCGCGCCAGCGCTACATGGAGAAGAGCGGCAAGTGCAACGTGCACCACGGCAACGTGCAGGAGACCTACCGGTACCTGAGCGACCTTTTCACCACCCTGGTGGACCTCAAGTGGCGCTTCAACCTGCTCGTCTTCACCATGGTTTACACTGTCACCTGGCTGTTCTTCGGCTTCATTTGGTGGCTCATTGCTTATATCCGGGGCGACCTGGACCACGTTGGTGACCGAGAGTGGATTCCTTGCGTTGAAAACCTCAGTGGCTTCGTGTCCGCTTTCCTGTTCTCCATTGAGACGGAAACGACCATTGGGTACGGCTTCCGAGTCATCACTGAGAAGTGCCCAGAGGGGATCATACTCCTGTTGGTTCAGGCCATCCTGGGCTCCATCGTCAATGCCTTCATGGTGGGGTGCATGTTTGTCAAGATCAGCCAGCCCAAGAAGAGAGCGGAGACCCTCATGTTTTCCAACAACGCGGTCATCTCCATGCGGGACGAGAAGCTGTGCCTCATGTTCCGAGTGGGTGACCTCCGCAACTCCCACATCGTGGAGGCCTCCATCCGTGCCAAGCTCATCAAGTCCCGGCAGACCAAAGAGGGCGAGTTCATCCCCCTGAACCAGACCGACATCAACGTGGGCTTCGACACGGGCGACGACCGCCTCTTCCTGGTGTCTCCCCTCATCATCTCCCATGAGATCAATGAGAAGAGCCCTTTCTGGGAGATGTCTCAGGCTCAGCTTCATCAGGAGGAGTTCGAAGTCGTGGTCATTCTAGAAGGGATGGTGGAAGCCACAGGTAAGATGATTTGTTCTCCTCAGCCACAGATGGTCCTACCCACACTCTGACTTAGCTACTGTGACTCCAGAAGATGCAGGCCTGTGCCTGAGCGTCCTGGGGTGTCACAGGCAGCAGGTTCAATCCCTAAAGTGTTAGCTACTCAAGATAGCTAATGCTGACAGGACGTTCCCAACTGCAGGCACTGTCCTAAACCATAAACATCTATTATCTGGCCGAATGTCCTTCCACGCCCTAGGATACTTTTTATTAAGGTACAGATAAAGAAGCAGGGACACAGACAGGCTAAATTATTTACCCAAGAGCAAGCGCTTTCAAGTGAGAATCAGGGTGGAAATCGAGGCAGGGGACCCCAGAGCCAGGGCTTGGTTCCAACAGGCCAAACTGCCCCTTGTTGGAACAGGTGTTCTACCCAGAAGAGCTCGCTGGTCAGATGGGTAATCTGGTCTTCTGGTAATCATAGAGCAAAACAAAAGCGATCTGGTTTCTTTACAGTGGACTTCCCTCTGTCCTTACACACTGAGTCTCATCACTGGGAAAGGAGGGGATGCAGAGTTTCCTAAACTAATAAGGGTTCTCACCAATCCTTTACTTGGAGAGGCCTTTGCTGCAGGGGAGAGGCTCTTCAGGCTGGGCCCCCTCTGGAGCAGCCAGCCCTCAACGTTCGTACAGGAGGTTGTCGTAGTAAACCCAGGGCAAGGCTCCTTTCTCACACCCCCCCCAAAAAAAAACAGTGCATCCATGCTAAGGCATCAACAGCCACGTATGCCCAAGAAAATGCCCTCTTTGTGGCCAGCATGGCACCTCCCTGCTCAGCTCCTGACTCAACAGTAGCTGGTAGCCAAGGACCCCCCATTCCTCAGCCACTCGGCCATGGTAGACCTCTGTGAGATGGCTCCAGGGAGCCCAAGGCCTGGGGGCACCTGAGTTCTGGCTGAGGACCCTAGTCCCCTCCCCACCCAACATCCTGCTTATTTCATTTCTGTCTCTGTCTCGTGCCTTCTTCTCTCTCTCTCTCTCTCTCTCTCTCGCCCTCTCTTGCCAAGTACAATGAGCAGCTGGTCAGGCCCTAAGATGGGTTTTAGAACTCAGTCACGCTCAGAAGGTGCTTGTCTATTTTTCTAATTCTTGCAAACAACGATGTAGGGCTGGCTTCAGGCTCATTTTACAGATGTGGAAGCTGAACTTCAAAAGCATTGTGTTCATACTCAGCTCTTCCACGTATAAATCTGGAAATTCTCTCACCACTCTGGCCCCCTAAAACACTAGGGTCCTGTCAGAAAGATGGCCAAGCACACCTTGCAGCCCCCAGGAAGCTGGCTGCTGGGCAGGGGTCTCACACCCGGCCTCCACAAGCCTTCCCATTTTGAAGTCGGTGGAAGCAGGAGAGAGTAATGACACGCTCTGGGGACTGGTGCCAGAGGGGGCTGCTCGGCCATCTGCTGGGGGCTGGAGCCTGGCAGGCAGCATATGGTGGCAGGCGGGCAGCCCCTAGGGCCGGGGACAGTCAGGACACCGGAGGCTTTTCCCTGCAGAGCTAGGGGCTGGCAGGTCATCCTGTCCTTGGCTCCAGGGTCCGAATGAGGACACAGGCTGCATTTCAGGGGAAGAGCTCCACTCTGAAGCCACAAGAAAAGGACTGTGTGAGAGACAAGCAGACAAATCATACCACTCCTGACCGCTCCCCAAGGCTGCCCTCACTCCCCAGCCACACAGCAGGAAGCGCACCCACAGGCTCACAGTGGAGGCAGCCGGTGCTATCCGCCCCGCTGGACCCGCAACCATACCTCCCTCAAAGTCAGGGGCCCACGGTCCATTGTCCTCATGGTTTGGCCTCCTCCCCTCTCACAACTTGAGCTATGCTTGCTCTGTCCCAGAAACTGTAGGGGACACCTGAGGAGATAGGGCAGGAGACCCTGTACCCATCTGTCCTGGATGTGGATGGCTTGGTTGTCAGGCACATGCAGGGAGTCCGTGCCTTGGCTTGAGTAGCGCAGGTCTGCGGTATCCGTCCTGAGCGGGGCTGAGCAAGCTGCTTACCTTGTCAGCAAAGTGAGGAAAATCAATCTCCTCGGGCAGCTGGGAGGATTCAAGGTGAAAAGGAGCACCCTGTGCCGAGCACTGTACCTGCCACCTGGAGAATCCTTTCCAAATGCACTGAGAAATGACAGGGACACAGCAGGATCTCTAGCAAAAGGACAGCTGCTGCCATACCCCACGAGCAGCAGGAGGAGCCCAAAGAGGCTTAGCCCAAAGGGCCAATGTCCTGCCCACGCCTTTACCAAGGCCCTGGGAGCCTGCAGACATCTGGCATGGTCTAGGCTGCTTTGGGCCTCTCTGCTGAGATTGTGGGGGCAACAAGAGTGAGGACTGAAGGGAGGGGCCCAGGCAGGCATCCCCAAGAACAGAGAGCAGGCTGTGAGCCCATCTGTGTGGGTGCGCTGGGGCTGAGAAGCAGCCTTGGACCTAGGTCTGGTTTGTTCGAGCCCCCCGAGAAAGCCCAAAGTGGGAGGCTGAGATGGGTGCCTTCAGCACCCAACCAGCACAGTTAATGCCTCCTCGGCCAGAAGATTAAATATCAGAAAGCTGCTTTCCTGTGACCCTAAGCACAGAGGCCTCCTCATCCATAAACAAAGCTTCCCTCCCTCTCTGGAGAGAAAGCAACACCTAAAAATAGCACCGGCATGGCACGGACTGAGTAGACAGGGAAACAAGGCATTGGAGCAGCCTCAAATCAAGAAGCCAAGCTCTGTGTGTGTGTGTCTGTTCCTCTTACCGTGTGTATGTGTGTGTGTGTATGCATGTGAGCGTGGAGCCCTCTCTCCATATGTGTCTACCCAAAACAATCTCCATATGTTCCAAATGCCTGTCAGCTTCTCTATGTTCGTTCATGCTTAATTTACCTTTGCCCTTTCCTGCCTTTTTTCCCATCTCAATCTTCTCGAAGTGAATGCTGTTTTCAGGAACCAAGTCCCTGCCTTCAACCATTCCAACATCTATTCACTCCAGTCTCTAGGAAACGACTTCCAGAATCTTGCATGTTGATTACTAATTTTCTGCCACCACCATGCCTTGAAATGCCCAGGGAAAGGACTGCGTCTTATTCAGCTTTACATCTCCACTGTGCTAAGCACAAAGTAGATGTTCGAGAAATGCTTGATGAATGATTGGATGAATGAAGGGATGCATGAAGGTATGGATGATAGATAGATGGATGGATGATGATTGGATGGACAGGTAATTGGGTAGATGAGTGGATGGATAGATGGGTGATAGGATAGATGATTGGATGAATAGATGAATAAATAATTGGATGGATAGATGGATGATTGGATGGATGGATGGATGGATGGATGGATGATTGGATAGATGATTGGGTGGATGATTGTATGTATGTAGGTAGGTAGGTATAAATGGACGGATAAATGGGTGGGTGGGTGGTGGGTGGATGGATGGATGGATGGATGGATAGATGATTGGATAAATAGATGGATGGATGAATGGATAGATGGATGATTCCATTGTAATGCATATAACTTCTGTATCCCCAGGGATGACCTGCCAAGCCAGGAGCTCCTACATGGATACAGAGGTGCTCTGGGGCCACCGATTCACACCAGTCCTCACCTTGGAAAAGGGCTTCTATGAGGTGGACTACAACACCTTCCACGACACCTATGAGACCAACACACCCAGCTGCTGTGCCAAGGAGCTGGCCGAAATGAAGCGGGAAGGCCGGCTCCTCCAGTACCTCCCCAGCCCCCCACTGCTGGGGGGCTGTGCTGAGGCAGGGGTGGATGCAGGGGCTGAGCAGAATGAGGAAGATGAGCCCAAGAGGCTGGGTGTGTCCAGGGAGGCCAGGGGCTCAGTGTGAGAGCTGCATCCTCCCTAAGACCTCATGTCACTGGCTTCAGTGAGCACAGACAGTGCAGAGCCTGAGGGCAGGGGAGAGGAATAGTTGAGTGCGCTGTTTGGGGGCTCAGAGGCCATCAAGGCTGTGGGGAGGAACCATATATTCAGCCCTCACAGCTCCCAGCACAGGGCGTCCCTGAGCCAGTGGCATCCTGTCTGGGCCCCCCATGGCAGTGCTGCCTCCTGAGGTTGCTGGCTAAGGCCAGGCCAGGATGAGTTTCCCCATAGTGAATGTTGCAGGGTGGTGTCTGTTCTCTGTCTGCCCTGGGTCACTGCCTTTTTTGAGTCTCACAGAGCCCTCCAGCAGCTGACACCTAGAGAAGGCCGTCACCTTGTCCCCTCATTCCTTCCACTCTGAGGCTTGCTGTGGATTCAGAGAGGAACCTTGCCTGATGGAAGCTCAAACCTCCAGTCTGGGATGAGTTCACAGAGCCCCCATGGGTAAAGGTCCATCTGTGTCACGTAGGCAATTCCTTTTAAATCAGATACCGACGACCCGTAACTGAGAGCTACGGAGCGTACAGCCCTTGGTGTTCTCTGCTGTTATCTGCCAAGTGTGTGTGTTTTTCCTCTGCTGTGTTCTGTGTGTTCAATGTAGCCTATTGAAGAATCGATCTCATTAGAGTGACTCTTAGAAGGTGGCCTGGGACTAGACAGCCCCTCTGAGCACATGCGTAGTGGCATCAGCAGCTTCCTGGCCTACTCCCAGTCACACTGTACCCTGCACCTCCCACCAAAGGGGAACCCCAGCAGCTGGGGTTTTTCTAGTTCTTTTTGGCCCAAGAATCTCAGAGTGCTTCTAATCATCACAGTAGTTTTTTTTGTTGTTCTTTGTTTTTTGTTTTGTTTTGTTTTGTTTACAATCTCAGCGAACATGTGGTGTGACCTGGGGAGAGAGCTGAGTGTCAGGGGGCACAATGAGCCAGGTGGCTCTGAAACAGGGAGCATTTTAAAATCAGCATCTGTCCCCAGTTGTGGCCGACACACTCTGACCTCAAGGCTCAGCACTTTTGCCATCAAGGTAGATGATGGGATGTAAATCAAAAGCAACAGGTGATTGCAGTGACAGCTTCACCACCAAGCCCAGCCTGGACTAAACTCCCAGCCTTGAGCTGAAAAGCCCCAGGGCCTCCCTCCTCAGGCAGGGTTACAACCAGGAGGGTGGGGTAGGGAGGGCAGGGAGGATGTCCTGGGGAAGGCAACGGGAGTGGCTGCTCCTCCATCCCCAGGCTGGAAACAAGAGGGCAAGGGGGGTCAGCGGGAGACTTAGGGGGTGGATTGAGTATTAGGAGGAAAAAGTAGAGTCTGAAAATCAGCAACTTCAGTGGCTTTTCTGATCTGGAGGTCCAGGAAGAGCGAGGGTGGAAAGGGGCTGATTGTCAGGTACCAAAACAGGCTGGCCTGACTTGGAGAGAGAGTGCCCATGTTCCTAGGCCACAGAAGATGAAGGCCTCACCCAGTCTCCAAAGCTCTCAAATGGCCTTTGAGAATGGAAGTCTTTCCCTGCCCTGGACATGTCACTCCTCCCTGGGAGAGGAGCAGAGCCACAGAGAAGTAGGAAATTGAGACAGAGCAAAGGGAAGGCTTCAGAGCTCAGGCCGGGTTCATCTCAGGCGGGATTTCTAGGTCTGGGGCTGGAAGGAACGGGAGCGGGGCAGCTTGGGGCAGTGACTGCCTCTGTGGGCTGCTCAGTCCCAGGGAGGGGCTCTGTGGGCTTCGCTCCTGGGCTGGATCTTGAGAGGTGGGCAGGGTGCCATGGCCACGTGAGGTCTTCCCACCAGTGGCAGGGCGTGGGGTCGTGGTCCCAGGTATCCTTCAGGGGGAAGCAGGCCTTGGAGGAAATGGGGAATGGGCTGGCACCCCACTCAAGGGAAGAGGAAGCAGACAGTGCCCCAGCAGGGGAGCTGTGTGCCCCCAGGAGTCTAGGGCAGGGAGTCCTTCACTAAGGCTGGGTGCCTTTCAGAGGAGCTATAGCTGGAACCTTCTGGCTGGGCCCAGCACTCACCCAGGGCTCCCCAGACCCCAGGGTTACTAACAGGAAAACCATTCCACACCCCCTTGCAGGATCTAAGTCTGTCTTTGGACCAGTCAGTCCCCCCAGGTTAGAGCCCATGACGGGGTCAACTAAGCAAGGGAGGGAAGGTGAAGGCGACGGCAGCCTGGCACCTGGATAGCGACCTGGCTCCTCCCCACACCTGCCTTCATTTATGACTCTGAAACATCCCCCACCTGACCAAGGGAGCCATTCTCTAGTTCTCTCACTCCATCAGGGCCCTGTGTGAGCCAGGACCAAGTCACACCTCTCAGCCACGTCTAGAAGCTCTGGGTAGAGGAAAGGAAGCATGCAGAGGGTCCTATGCCAAAGCTCCCTGCCTGGCCCGAGCCTGGGCATACTGCAGCCCGGCCCCAGTGTGCCTCCTCTGCCTTCTACCATGGCAATTTAAAAGGAAGAAGACCCTCTTCACATCCCGAGGAAATCCCCTTCCAGGTGACCAGTTGATCCAATGAAAGTTTGAAAAGTTCTTCCTTTTCTAGAAGTTCTTGAATAAACACAGACTTACTAAATGCAAAGTCTGATGATGGACAGAGTTTCAAGGGGTCACTTTCAAAACAATTAATTTATTTATGTAGAGACATGGTCTCACTCTGTCTCCCAGGCTGACGTGCAGTGGTACAACCTCCGCTCACTGCAACCTCTGTCACCTCCGAGGTTCAAGGGATTCTCATGCTTCAGCCTTCCAAGTAGCTGGGATTACAGGCGTGAGCCACTGCTTCCGGCCATTTTCAAAACATTGCTCCTGCATACAAACCACTCAGAGGCCATAGCCCTTGGTTCTGTGATGGCTCTGAGCCCACACCATCACATCTGATGGACCCCAGAGAGCTGAGCCCCGCTTTAAGATGGGGTCGTGCACTCACTGGTCATTCCCACAGTCTTCAGTATCTCCAAAATCCCAAAGTGATATTTGACTTTCAGACACTGAACGTTTGGAGAGCTGGTTTCTTGCCTTAATTTAAGCCCTCTGAGAATGTCCGCTGTAAGGGAGAAGCCTCCAGGAACTCAGAGAGAACTCGTTCCCACTCATTTTCCTGCTCCACCAATCTGACATCTGACAGATGCTGTCACCAGTGCTGGAAGGATCGTGTCCCCAGGCCAAGGCAGAATGAGCACTGCCTGTGACTCTCCCCTTCAGACTCCATGCCCGCTGGCCTCCTGTGTAGTCAGCGAGCCACTGCCCATCACCTCCTGCTGCTGCTTTGAGGTTGGGGTCCTGGCTTGAGCAATTACCTTGCTGGAGGAGAGGACCTCCTGCTGTCTGGGGAGCACCATCCCTGCTCATGATCTGTAACAGTGGAGTGCCTTTTTCACACCCCTTATCTCATGGCTTGCCTTCCAGCCCCCCTCAATCCTGTACCTCATATGAGGTGAGTCCCAGAGAAACTTAAATTGCTTGTACTGAAGTTGCCAAAAACCAAACGTTGCCCATTGTCTTTTGAGGCCATGCCCTGAAAACACCTCTGCCGAGCACCACTGAGCACGTGTTAAATGCCTGCCATGGGTCAGACACTTGATTCTCAAAACACTGCTGAGAAGCTCTTAGTAACCCCTTACCAATGGGACAGTTGAGGCTCAGAGAGGTTTATGAGCTTCCCAAGGCCACAGGTAGTAATGTGAGGCAGGGTCTCGGTGCCCAGTGCCTCCCAAACAAGCAGCAGGGGCCATGATCCTGCCCAAACTCTTGTGCCCATGGCTCCTTGCTGGGCCTGGGCAACAGAGATCAGGAGAGCCCTGGCTCTCGGGGTGGCATCGCAGGCTGTACCATAGAGTCCCAGCTTCCACGCACAATGTGCCCGTGGCGGGAAAATTGGAAAACAACCTTTCTCTGATTCCCAGAGAACTAATGAGCTGCAAAAAGAGATTAGACAGGGAAGAATTGCTTTCGGGGAGAAGCCACTTATCGGCTTGCCTTGGTTTCTGCTAACAACGTCTCCTTAAACTGCTGTCAAATCTTTTCCTCCCTGTGTAGGCTTCATCAATCTTCTTATGAAAAAGGGCACCACTGCAGCAGTAAAAATTCACTCAATAAAATGCACTTGACCTTGCAGAACTCCTTCTCATTTGAAACAGACGGCCACCAGTTTCCCGTTTAGACTCATTGCCAGTTTTAGAAACCTTGTTTTTCTTGGTTTTGTTAGCCTAAAAATGTAGTGTCAACATCTAGACTGGTTTCAAGGTGGAAGAATGGGCAAAGGTGGGGCGGAGACGGCCGGATGGGGGCAGCTGCACCAGGTGTTTGGAGGTAGAGCTGGTGACAGATGTGGGGGGTGCGGGCAGTGTTGGTTCTCACATTAAGTCATTCGTTCCAGCCCCAAATACCTTGTGTACATTCTTTAATGTCAAATACTCAGAACCCACATTACCTACATAATGAGTAACTTTAAAAATATCTACTTTAGGGGGCTACTGGACTAGCATTCTGCTTTCAGGGCATAAATTTGCAAAACGATTGCTCTTGCTGAACAGTAGGGAAGGGGCAGAGGAGGCTGTGATACCTCATGGTGGCAAAGGATCTCAGGATCTTTCAAGAGAAGTCCCAAAGTTTCTGTTGAAAATGTCCTTAGCAGTAGAGGATGTGATATTGGCTTCTCTTCTGCTCTGGTCACCCAGTGGTAATATTGAAGAGCTAAAATTTACTGAAAATCCCTCATGGACACCATCCTGAAAGGATAAAGGGGATCACCAGGGCTCTGGTTCAAAATGAGAGGCAGTGTTTTCAGTTGGGAAAGGCAGCACAGCCCTGATGTGTGTGGCGGTGTTTCCCTTGCCCCATGGCCCACCCACGGTAATTGGGCATCGGTGAATCTGTGTGTGGAACTTGGGCCAAAAGCACATGCTGAGCCTCAGAATCAGCCATGAACAAGAGTATCTGGTGACACTGAGGGTGAATTGCCTTCACGGTGGGAAAGACCCACACAAAGGCAAGATAGGAGGTCTGGGGATGGCCCTTGCCTGGGGATGGGTACATTTACTTACTGTTCAGTGTCAGAATGGAGACATGAGTTCAGGGGAAACGGTGAATCTGTGAATTTGCACATTTGCCAGTCAAGCTCAGATTGCAATTTGAGGAAGGAGAACTAGACACACAATCTAATAAAATCAACAATCTGAATGTTACCGTTAGAAAACTCACCCGGGCCCAGAAGATGCGCTCTGCTGGTCCCAGTCAGAAGATCGACACCGATGCACGCACAGCAGATATCTCCTTAGGCCTTGTTAGATCCCAGCCATAAAGTGTGCTGACTTTCTTATGGTAAATAAATGTCTAGGAGGAAGTTCTGAAAACAGAAACATTGCTGACTTCTTCTCAAGTGAGTGTTTACATTGATTCAGAAGCTGCTATTCAAATAACCTTGGCTCACTTGGTGGAGGCAAAAATCTTAAATTCCAGAGGAGAAATTACTGAGAATTTGGGCACATTAACATATACTTTGAGCTTCATTTTTCTACCAAGTAAGCAAAAGCGTAAGCGGAGCCATCCTCGGCTGCGCTGGGCGAGTCTGCAGCAGTGAGCGAGGAGGTGACGTACAGAGGCACTGAGAACTCCTGTGTGCACCCACTGGATGCCACATTCCAAATTGCCTCTCTTTTTTGAGACAGAGTCTCACTCTGTTGCCAAGGCTGGAGTGCAATGGTGTAGTCTCAGCTCACTGAAACCCCTGCCTCCCAAGTTCAGATGATTCTCCTGCCTCAGCCTCCCAAGTAGCTGGAATTACAGGCACCTGCCACCACACCAGGCTAACTTTTGTATTTTTAATGGAGATGGGGTTTCCCCATGTTGGCCAGGCTGGTCTTGAGCTCCTGACCTCAAGTAATCCACCCGCCTCGTCCTCCCAACATGCTGGGATTACAGGTATGAGCCACCATGCCCAGCCCCCAAATCACCTCTTAAACATGCTCATGAAAGAGACTGCAGCCAGCCCTGTGTGATATGAAGCTGCAAGGCCGTGATCGTTTCCTCACTTCACCGTGTAGTTACCTGGGGAAGTGGGCAGACATGACCACTCAGGAATGCACTCACCTTCTCTCTTCCTACAGAGGCGACCCTGCTTGCTCTGGTTCATGGAAACAGCTAGGAAAAGAGGAAGCACATTTGCTGAACTCAGACTGTGCCCTGATGGATAAGAATGTGGCTGTTCAATCTCCTGGTGTCTTTCCCATTCAGTAATTGCACTGGGAGAGGCTTACACTCCTTCTCTTCAGATTAAGCACTCCATGAACACACCCTATCTTCGTATATAAGATAAAATCCTTCACGCCTGTAATTCCAGCACCTTGGGAGGCCAAGGCAGGCAGATCACAAGGTCAAGAGATCGAGACCATCCTGGCCAACATGGTGAAACCCCATCTCTACTAAAAATACAAAAAATTAGTTGGATGTGGTGGCGTGCGCCTGTAGTCCCAGCTACTCGGGAAGCTGAGGCAGAAGAATTGCTTGAACCTGGGAGGCTAAGTTTGCAGTGAGCTGAGATCATGCCACTGCACTCCAGCCTGGTGCCTGGCGATAAAGCGAGACTCTGTCTCAAAAAAAAAAAAATCCTGCTGGGAAGCCACTCCTGTTTGTGTCTCCCAGAACCCACAGCAGCAGCAGAGCCTGGGCATTAGTCCGGGAGCTGATCATCCTGATCATTTCCTTTGAAATTGGTGGATCTTTGCAGGGCATTCCAACAACCATCTCATTGTGATAAAGGATTAAAATGACACCTCGGAAAACACAGAGCCAACTCCACACAAGGGCCAAAGGGTATCTGTCTTTTCATTACTTCAATTTTCCCACATATCCATTATTCAGCAAATATTTAGTGAGCACCTACTATGTACCCAGAGCAGAAACAGACACTGCAAACTCAGTGGTGATCAAGACTGTCTTAGTCCACTGGGGCTGCATTATAAAAATACCTTAGCGTGGGTAATTTCTAAAGAGCAGAGGCTTCCTGCTCACAGTTCTGAGGGCTGGGAATGCCAAGATCAAGGTCAGGCCGCCAGCAGATCAGGTATCTGGTAAGGGCCTGTTCCTTGCAGATGGTACCTTCCAGGTGTCCTTACTTGGTGAAACAGGCTCCCTGAAGCCTCTTTCATAAGGGCACTCATCCATCATGAGGATCCACTCTCATGACCTCATCACCACCCAAAAGCCCTGCTTCCTAATGTCATCACCTTAGGGGCTAGATTTCAAAAAAAGGAATTTTAAGGGAAGATAAATATTTAGACCATAGCAGAGTTGATATGGTCTCTTGCCCTGGTGAAATTTGCTGTCTGGTGGGGAGGGAGAGGCAAAGACAGAAAAAGTACACAAATCAAAGAATCACGGTTCACAATAAATGCTACGCGGGAAACAAACAGGGGGCTGAGGTCAAGATCGGCAGGGCTGCCTCTGGGGAGGCTCTGAGGGGGTCTGGGAGCTGGGTCTTGAAACAGAAGCAGGAATGAGCTCCTCTGGTAAGGGTTCTGGGGGAACAGCTGTGTGCAAATGTCCTGGGAGTGGAAGGGGCAGCTGTATCCAAAGAACTGGAAAAAGCCCAGGGAGGCAGCAGCCCTGGGGAAGGGGGAGCAGGGAGTTGGCCCAAGCCTGGCTGGGAGCTAGGGCTGACAGTTCAGATCTCATGGCAGGTTCTGGGGAGAGCGCAGCAGGGGCTTATGGGGGGTTACCCGCTATGAGTTCACCCGGCGATGGTATGGCCTTTCCTCTCTCCTGGGTGTCATGGATCATTAGCCACATTGGGGCACGATCTGAGCAGCTCTATCGGGCTGTACTCAACCCTGCCCTTTAAGGACTAAAAGTCACAGGTCAATCTAGGTTCTTTTCATAAATATTTCCAAGTTGTAAACTCAGGAGCATTTCTGAGCCATACTGGACAAATCCCTCCTAAGTATTATTGCATATGCCCTGTGTGATAGAAGCTGGTCAGACTGTTCGAGGACCCTTCCCAGTGCCAGGGTCCATGGCCCATATCACTGCTCCATTTCCCCCCTGCTTGCACCCAGGGAATGGGCTCAGCCTGCTGCCTACATGGGGTGCCAGGTGGTATGCGGGCTCCTTACCAACGTGGAGAAGGCTTCCAGCTCACAGCCCTGACCCTGAGAGCTGGCTCCGCATCCATTTCAAACAGGCAGCATCTGAAAGAGAAAACCAGTCTCTCTTCAAGGCCCTTAAAGTGTTCATCTTTAAAAGGGAAATTGCATTTCGCAAAGCACTGCTTGTGCATCTGACATTTGCACATCTGGAAAGCTGGGATTGCTTGATGTGGCGCTCAGTGAAATCCAGCTCTCCTTCCGCCTGCCACCCTCTCCCTTTCATGATCCTCTTCCCAGTTCCAATCCAGGATTCCCTGGGCCCTGCCCTCTGCCTCCAGCTTTCCTATCTTCCATGCATAATGCCCCATTTCCCAGCCAGGTGAACCATTCTCCTCTGTGTATAAAAATCAGATTGCTCCTTTTGAAAAAAAATAAAAACTGGCAAACAGACAAACAGAACCCTTTCAAAGTGGAGGGCTTTGCAGTTGGTTCTTTACATGTAGAATTAGGGTGTTCCTAGAAGCCTTTTCGGGCCATCTTTTTAGGCTAGATGTAACTTGAAATCATTCACTAGTGTACTCAGCAAGCATTTGCCAAGCCCCTCTGTGTCCTGAGCACCTTGCCAGGACCTGGGGAAACCAAGCTGGCTCAGTCCACGCCCTCTGGGAGTCCACAGCCAAGTTGGAAGGAGGGTTCCGCACTAATTGCTCTGATTCATTGCATAGAATATTTTTTATTTAAAAACATCTTTCTATTTTATAAAGAAAAATGTCCATGTCATTGGACCAGAACCAAGAACCAGGTTCTTGGACAAAAGGCAAGAACCGGTTAAAAACACATGGACACATTCACACACAGACACACACACACACACCCCCACACACAGAGAGAGAGAGAGAGAAAGTGAAAGAAAAGACTAAACATGCAGGTTTTGTTAACAAAAGGAATGATTTGCCATCAGATCAGTGTTAATGATTTACACCTTTAAAATGTGCCATCCAGGGCCAGGCGCGGTGACTCAAGCCTGTAATCCCAGCACTTTGGGAGGCCGAGGCGGGTGGATGACGAGGTCAAGAGATCGAGACCATCGTGGTCAACATGGTGAAACCTCATCTCTACTAAAAATACAAAACATTAGCTGGGCATGGTGGCGCGTGCCTGTAATCCCAGCTACTCAGGAGGCTGAGGCAGGAGAATTGCCTGAACCCAGGAGGCGGAGGTTACGGTGAGCCAAGATCGCGCCATTGCACTCCAGCCTGGGTAACAAGAGCGAAACTCCATCTCAAAAAGAAAAGAAAAAGAAAAGAAAAGAAAAGAAAAAAAGAAAAGAAAAGAAAAGAAATGTGCCATCCAAAGACAGTGCCAATTCCAGGCAAGCCCTTCATCCTCTCCACAGCAGGGCTTTCAGAGCGCGGTCTGTGGGAGACTTCACTTGAACCTTCTGAACCGGCAGTGTCCAGCACCCCGCCCGGGGCCTTCCTCGCCCCCCCCCCCGCCCCGTCTGCAGAAAGCTATTCTGGGTCTCCTGAGGGTGTCCCCTGGGCTCCTCCAGGCTACAGCGCAGGCGTCCCTCTTTCTTAGGTTACAGCGAACGCAGTTCCCAAGATTTCTTTCATGCTCCAAGTTTTAAAAAAGAAACAGAAATGAAAAGAAATCGCGGCCTTTCATCCCTCGACCTGAGAGAGGCCCCTGCCGACCTGAGAGGGATCCCTGCGGACCTGAGAGGCACCTGCCATCCGGCTCCCGCGCCCTCTGCCCCGCCCCGCCCCGCCCCGCCGGCCCCCTGAGCCCCCTGAGCCGCCACATTCCTGCCTGAGGCCAGCAGGGGGCAGCACTTGCCAACTGGCCACGCGGGACAGCGGGCTCTGAAGGGGCAGGAGAAGGGATGCCGGGCCAGCTGCGTGGGAAGTGACGGCCACTTGGACAGAGGAGGCAGTGCAGCTGCAGCTATGTCGCTGAATTTGAGTTTAAGGGCAATAATTCGCAGAACGATAGGATCGAGGCAGAGGGGAGTGTGAGGGAGGAGCCCCCGCCTCTGGCTTGCAGAAGCAGGTGGACAGACGCTGCACTGGAGAAGACTCTCGTTTAGAGACGCTGGGGAGGGAACGGCGTGGGTTTTTTGAGCCAGCCCCCTGCATGTGCACGTTTGCATCTGAGGACCCTCAAAAGTCGACATTTGCATACACCTAGACCTCCGAAGGCAGAACAGTGAGAGTCCTAAGTTTGGGAGTCATCGGGCTGAGTGGGACTTGAAGCTGAGTTCCTAGCTAAGATTGTCCTCGAAGGAGGGAGAGCGTGGACAGAGAATCAGGCTAGGACTGACTCTTGAGGGGCGGGAGGATGCTTCTTCTCAGGAACTAGAGGGTTCTCCATGGCGCCGGCCTTCAAGCGCTCTCTGGGTTAACACCTGGGAAGACCCTCCCAGAGTCCAGCGCCACTACGGCTTCCAAGGTCCCTGTGATTCCGGGGGATGCTGAGTAAGGAGCCCACGGAAGGGTCCTCAGGGGAAAATGTGCCAGGGCAAGCCCAAGGCTACACTGGTTTATGCGCCTCCTGAGCAGAGCAGCCCTCACCATCCCCACCGCAATCCGTCCGATCCCCTCAGGCCCACCGTCCCTGAGGAAGCCCAGATGGCCTCTCCTTCAGCCCTGGGCTTCACTGCCACCGCTTCTGTCCCCTTGAGTGCGGCCATCTCTTCTTGCTAGCTTGCTTACTTGCTTGTCACAGGATCTGGGCTGCCCTGACTTCCTAATTAGCTCTTTTCATGTTGTAGCTTTGCAATTTCTCTTGATTTCCACTGCCCATTTAAATGCCTTATTTTCATTTTTGCAGCGTTCCTTTAAACTTCCTGTCACCTCGTTGGTTTCTATTGTGATGTGTGACAGGTAGCTGGCTTAAAAGAGTGAATTTCCATATTCTCCTTACAGATTTGCATTTTCCCATCAACTGGAGAAATGACAGCAGAATCCATGAAATAGCTGGTGGGCAGAAAGGTGCACTGAAGAATGTAAGTGGCTCCTTTTGCGATATGAGAGCTCAGGGAGGCCAATCTCAGAAGCCAGCGGTGCGGGAAGAACTTTGTAGTTAATAGAAACTTTGATTCCTACATCACTGCCACCCAATGCACCCCATCGCCCTTAATTTGTATTTGACCTTGCCTAGGATAGCCTATTCTGGAAGATAATTCTTAAGTTTTGGTTGTAGTTTCAGTGACATGTTCCATGTGGTTCCACTTCATCTCATTTGCTACTGGATGGTCTTTGCATGTCACGAGTCAGTGCTTACCATTTCCAGGTGCCCCTGTCTTTCTCAAGAAAACTTTCAGTTTCTTCAGCAAAACCCTTCAGCCAGGTTTCACAGACATGTCCGGCAGACTGTGACATTTTCACTCACACATCTACAACACACACACAAAGACGCAGCCCCCTCCAAGATTCATAGCAATCCATTCCTAATTCTATAGCTCACATCTTTCTTACTGACCTTTGAGTGGATTACAATCGCCCTTGCCTTAATCACTAATTTACAATGAGTTATACATGGAAAACCGTACGTATTAGATTAATATTCTCCCTTGCATAAGCGTATCACCGTCATCTTCAAACACCACCCAAATGGGGAGCCGCAAGCATTTTCAGCTGCACTTCGAGTGTCCACCTCATCTTGTGAGGGGGCGGGGAAAGGCTTTTCTTTTCTTCCTTTCTTTATTTTTGAGACACGGTCTCACTCTGTCACCCAGGCTGGAGTTCAGTGGTTCGATCTCAGATCACTGAACCCCGGTTTCAAGCAATTATCCTGCCTCAGCCTCCCGAGTAGCTGGGATTACAGGCACCTGCCACCATGCCCAGTTAATTTTTGTATTTTTAGTAGAGCCAGGTTTCACCATGTTGATCAGGCTAGTCTTGAACTCCTGACCTCAGGTGATTCCCCACCATTCCTATCCCTGGCCTCCGCCTCCAGAAGCGCTAGGATTACAGGCGTGAGCCACCACGTCTGGCCGAAAACTTCCTTTTCATTCTAACAGACCCAGATTCAACCTCTGAGTCTCTTTCTCTGCAGCACAGTGGTAACTACCTCGTGGACTATTACAGAATTAAAGAAGATTTCATGGGGCGGCCTCACTCAAAGTGGCATCCCTGTAAACATTCACTCTTCTCCCCTTTAAATAGGGGCCATGTGTGGAGAGAGGCCGTGTCTCTTCCACCCTCATCCTCCTTTGCGTCACCGTCCTGGTGTTTTCCCTGTCACTACTGGCTTTTCAGGAACCTCTTGGGCTGAGCTGGCTGCACATCCCTTCCAGCAGCAGTCAGCTGTGCTCCTGTTGGTGTTGCTCCGGACGGGACTGTCTCCCTGCTGAGGAGCCCCCCACACTCTCCCAGGACACTTCTTCCTCTTCCTTCTATACGACTCACCCCGCCTGACCCTGCGGTGATTTGCTGAGCACATACTAAGCACTTGGCCGCCCTGTGCCCGGTGCCACTGCACCAGGTCCTGGCTCAGGGGTTTCTGGTAGGCACCCGAGTCAGAGCCAGCCATGCTGCCCATGCACCCCGTGAGGGTTCTGGGCCAAGGGCCCATCCTGGCTAACGAGGCTCAGCTTCCCTCTGACCCCATACATGAGGGGTCAGGTGAGAGCCCTTTCTAGAAAATCAAGTTTCCCCTGCCCCTTGGCTTGTGAGGTTGGTGACGGGGAGGGTGTCTTGCTTTGACATGGGGAGGGACCCATCAGAGCCTTTAGAAATGGGATTCTCTGCCTACTTGCATGGGCACTCAGTGGAGCCACTGCTTATGAAGCAGACAGCTGCTTTGCAGTGACGAATACACCAGATGTGAGGGAGACTTGTGGAATGAGTCACAGTGGAAGGCTATAGCACAGTCATCTACAGCAGAAGCGCTCCCAGAGAGTCATTTGCCAGGTCATACAGCAAAACAATGACCTCAGCCCCCAGGGCACTGCGGCCTATGAGAAGCCGGGCATCTGTCCTGAGAGCTGGGCAGGCTCTGGGAGGGCCAGCTGCCCTGGCACCTGAAGCACTTCCTGGGGAGAGCAGGGAACAAGAGGGTGCATGTGGAGGTCAAACGTGGAATTGGCTTCCTGGATAATTCCCTCCCTCCATCTCCGATCCCATCCCTTATTCTCCCCACCCTCCCTGGAGGTACAAGGAGAAAACTGCCACTGAGAAGGAGGCTGGGGGTTAGGGAGGCAGAGGCTTAGGGAAGTGGGAAATTATCAGGGAGGCAGAGATTATGGAGGCTGGGATTAGGGAGGGCAGGGGTTGTAAACCCGCACTGCCTGCTCCCTCCCCAGCCAGGCAGGTGTCCTATCTCTGGCTGGCTCCTCCCTGGCCTCCTTTCCCTGTCACATGGAGTGGGTTTTCTCTCCGCCCCCTCCTCCTCTATGTAGTTGTTGAGCACTGGTTTTCGCCTTCTGCTGTGAACCGAATGCTTGTGTCCCCGCAACCCCAAATTCCCATGTTGAAACCCAAACCCTGATGTGTTGGGATTTGGAGGTGGGGCCTTGGGGAAGGGAATAGCCTTAGATGAGGTCAGGAGGGTGGGCCCTGCCAGTGGGATTAGGGCCTTCTGGAAAAGAGAAAGAGGCCGGGCACGGTGGCTCAGGCCTGATATCCAAGCACTTTGGGAGGCCGAGGTGGGTAAATCACTGGAGCTCAGAAGTTCAAGACCAGCCTGGGCAACAGAGCCAAACCCCATCTCTACAAAAAATTAAAAAATTAGGCAGGTGTGGTGGCACACACCTGTAGTCCCAGATATTCGAGAGGCTGAGGCAGGAGAATTGCTTGATTCTGGGAGGTCCAGACACGCCAGCCTGGGTGACAGAGTGAGACTGTGTCTCGAAAAAAAAGAAAAAACCAGGAAGAGACAGAAGATCCTTCTCTCTTTATGCCGCGTGAGGATACAAGGAGAAGGTAGGCTTCTGCAAACCGGGACATGACCCCTCCCAAGACATCAGATCTGCTGGCACCTTGATCACGGACTTCTCAGCCTCCAGAGCTGCAAGAAATAAACATTGATTGTTTAAGCCACTCCGTCTATGGTGTTCTATGACACAGCCCAAGCTAAGAACCCTCCAAGGACAGGCAGTAGGGCATCCCTGGGGGAGTATAGCCAACCCCTATGCTCTCCAGATATACAAGATCTTCCTCCCTGTCTCCGCCTGGCGAGTCACAGCCTGCGGGGTTGACAGCTGCTCCTCCTCCTGCTGCTGCAGCACCCACAGAGGACCCCTGTGCACAAACCACATCTCAGTAGAGGCCACCACACTGCACCCCTCTCATTGCCTTAAGAGGGTTGCTAACTCCTGGGAGTAGAATCGGCAGATTTAACAAATGAAAATACAGGTTTCCCAGTTCCGCTGAAATTTTAGGGAATCAATAACTAATGGTAGAACGTAACTGTGTCCCATGCAGTTCTGGGGACACACTTATACTAACAGATTTTGTCGTTTGCCTGAAATTCAATCGAATCAGGTGTGCTGTATCTTTGTTTGCTGAATCTGGGACCTGTGCCCACTTCAGCCCATCTGGTCACTTGGAGGGAGTGCTGTGACAGTTTATGCTCTTAGGCTGTCCCTACCAGGGCGAAATAATATGACAAATTGATCAGCACATTAGAGTGTTAATAACTCAAAAGATCCTGGCGTGTGTGGCTGAAGCAGCAATCACAGAGCCCGAGCCCAGAGGGGTGACTGTCTATCTCGCCCTCGGTTTCCCCACCCCTGCAATGCAGGTATCTAA